AAGCTTAACAAATTGAATGTATAGTGAGTCGTTTCAAATGTTGATGATGTAGGAAATCCACACCTCTCTGTTTAGAAGCGTCGCTTGCCGCAGCGGCTTTGAAATGCTGGCCTCACCTTGGTGTGAACCCATTCGGTGGGCTTCCTTTTACGATGCAGGACTGCATCTCTATAAAGCTCTGTTACAGTTCACTGAATAATCATATTAAAAGCCAAAATGAAATAGGACGGCTTTAAATGAATTTGAAATTTTCACATATATGCCTTGTTCGAAGGCGAAGCGTCAAAGGTCTATCGACAGTAACAGCAGTAGTAGCAGTAGGTAAGGATGGCCGCTGTTGAAATCGCTTCCTGTCAACAAAAAAAAAAGATGCTACAACTAAATTGGGTTCGGGTGATTAAAAGACAGGTGCTAAATAACAGGGGACATGAGAACAGCTGAATCCATAAAATGCAGTTCCGAAAAAATACTTTTTTTTTATGGTACTGAAAACTTTCGGTAATTTGATTTTCGTATACCGTTTCGCCGACAACGAAAAGGCCGGTGTCTGCGTAGCGACACTGGATGTATATGTGTACACGTAACCGTGCTATTCATATCGAAACATACAAATGCCGTTTCGTAAGGAGTGGGCTTACGAGGTTAACGATTCTAATTGGTTTGATTGCTACCCGTTAGCCTGGTCATTTCCCAACTAGAAACGGCCATTAAATTTTTAGGCGTTGAAATGGAGAGGTGTTTCGGCCAGAAGCTCTCACAGACGAATACATTAGAACTAGAATGAAAACGTTGTATCGGGTTGCATTGAACAGGGGAACAACGAGGCAAAATCAACAGGCAGATTTTCCTTTTGGAGAGTTCTGGGACATCTTTTGTCACCACTATCGGTGCTGCTGTTAGCGCTGAATGTAATCAAGCTGTAAAAAGAACTAAGTGGAGGGCAATAGAACGGGAACAGAATTGGCCTACTAAGCCGAGATGCGGTCTGATACGATCACAAGGCTATCCTTGCCTCGCTAGCCGCGGTCGCAGTAAACGCTCACTACTCTTCCGTTCGCTTCTTCGATAGGGACGCGTTTTGTAATTATTATATTCTCTATGAACGACCTTTGACTTCTTTTACGGTAAGACCACAGACCTTGGACCAGAAATCGCAACGAAAATCGTATTGTAAAAGAACGGTGATTGGGGCGACGCCTCGCGCGAATGTTTCTGGTTCACGAAAATCCTAGTAATTGTATGATTTCGCGTTCCTCCAGCGGTTCTATTTGGCCCTGGAACTATGGGAATTGTCTGAACGGGATTGGCTGCGTTTCTGCCATTCTGTAGAGTTCAAGAAATAGCAAGATGGCGATCGAAGGAAAAAGATCATTGTTTGAACGTTTGTGCGTATGTTTTCTTTGATTTTCCGGTGACGGCGCGCTGTTCAAGTGAGACACTGAGGCACGTGCTACGTCGAAACGGATATTCTTTCGCTGAACACTTGTTTGCCTTCGTATTAATTTTGTCAGAAGGCCTAGTAGACAAGGAAGTCCTACTTTGCATTTTCAACATCCAGTTAACTACGACGCAGCGCCTGGCACCGAGAGGACGTCTGCATCTGTACCAGAAGACCAGTCGTCTTCATCCGGGGTAGTTTAAGGAATTCGAATGGAGCAAGCAAAGTTGGATGCGTGGCTTCAGTTAGATAAGAACAGTTCATTAAAACAGTACAAAGTGTCACTTAATACACAAACGAAAGCAAAGCCAAATAACAGTACAGAGGCAACATTGTTTTGGGAACGCTTGCAGTGTCCTAATACGTAAAACTAACAAAAATTCAAACGTGAATGAAAAACGTATTTTCTGCCATTTTTATTTGTTCGTTGTTCGGGAAATCGTCACATTTAATCGCAATGCGACCCTCACAGTTAGAAGCCAAAAGCAATGCTTACAAGTGGGTTACTTCTTGAGAATTAGGGCGAGTAAACAGTTGATTAGTCACGTCTTATTCTTTTCACTGAATTTAGCTCTTAACTAGAACTCAGACTTGCGAAAAGTTTCTCTATTTTTTTAAAACCTTCTTCATAGCAGAACTGTAGAGTAAAACAACTTTAAGTGTTTTATATTTCTACCAAAGTTAAGCGTGTAAATATGCATGAGAAACACAAAAACAAGTCTAACCTTGCTTTTAATTGCAGTGGGGCCTTATTTTGAGCACCGTCTATAGCGAGACTGACTTATTATAGTGATTCGTATCTCAACTTGACTTTAACGAGGTATCATTTATGCTGGACTACACCCGAAGCAGATGATTCATAGAGAGGTCTGCGTCTAAGTTTTTGAACACACCTGAGGTGGAACTTCTTCTAGATGGCAAAATTTACTTGCGTAGTTCTCCCTCGTTCAATCCAATGACTTCAATGTCATGTGTACTGCCATTGAGCAGTATGACAGCTAGGGCGCTTTGGCAGCTTCAAAACGGCCGTAGAAACCGGCCAGAGACCTCAAGCTTGCAGAGTAGAGCCGCGATAAATGTATTGTTTGAAGAGTAAATTTGTACGCTTGTATGAGAATGAGATATTCAACATAGAAAAGAAATGTGTACAGCCTAAAAAACGAAGCTGGAATTCTGATACGAACCCTCGAGGAGGTTCAATATTGAAAATAATTCTAGTACAATGAAGATATCTCCTATTTTAGAAAAAAAACTTGATAGATCAGAACAACCTAATTCGTCTTTGACCTTACGATGAAAATATTACATGTCCGATCATGCCTGTTCTCAGGCAACGTCGTTTTGAATTAAAAACCCGACCACTGGATGTCTCCGTAAAAGAGATAGAATTAGTTGCTTCAGGAGTGTCGATCGTTATCGAAATGACAGTGGTTAGTGATCATCATCTCGGCGATTACCAAAAAGACCTCAAAGAGACGAAAAGCCGACATTGGTTATAGATGAATTATTATGGTATTAACAAGTTACCCGCAACTAAAAGGTATTGCGCAACGGGAAACTCCACTTGGAGCATCAGTTTTTCAATGGCATGAAATCTGCCTCGTCGTCCATACTCGTTCGTGGTGAACTACTACCCTCCCACAAGTAAATAGACCTAAAACGAGGAGAAGAATACCTGCTTCAACAAAGCGTGGTGTGTAGATGCGTTATCGTATAGGTATTCTTAACTTCTGCTTCCGTAACAAAATCGATGCTTCTATATATTTAAGGTTAGGCGCACTGCTCTTTACAGCCGGACACGTTCGGCGTGTCCTGTTTACATTGCAAACGATGTGCAAACAATGCGTCCATCCAACCTATTTCAATATTACGCTAAATAAAATTCACGCAATCGATGCTAATGCTACAACATGAATGAACACACTTCGTGAAATAAGAAGCACTTCGGCGAAGTAGTCCCGGTAATAATCGGTGACGCCCGCTAACTGGATGCATTAAAGTGTGTCTGGTACTAGAGACACTCAGCAGACATGCCGATTCTGTCCTAGGTAGGGCGCAGACGGCCTTCGAAAACGTACAATTAAATAGCGCAGAGATAAGCGGTTGTACGAATGACAAGTTCGATCGACTCTAGCAACGCAGACTAACTACTATTAATGGGCTGGGTCGTACGGAAATTTATAACTATAATGATTCACGACTTGGTGAGTGTTAGCGAGACCACGCCCGTTTTTTTTTTTGTTACACGCCTATTGACGAAATCGGCTTCGTTTTGCCTACAACGCGTCATCGTGCGTTTATCTTACCTTCTTCCACAGGGAACTACCGTCGGAACCAGGACAACTACCTTACGTCTAGGCAAGGCTTATTTATCGATTTCGGCTCTAAGGAACGAGAACAAGTGTCGTTACGTGTTGAAAAATGGTGGCCTTTTCCTGCTTTTACCTTTTTTCAGGGATATACACTCCACCACAGTATTCGAATTGGCGCTGTAGTAGTAGCGGTTGGTGTGAGGAGACGCATCTGAGCTGAGGCTATCGCCTACAGATACGTCTGATACCGATCTGTCAAAGATGCGTCTATAAGGATCCCTTTATGGCGTTTCGCGTGGCTTTCAAGTCATTCATTGGTAACATGATTGTTATTACCGAACCCCTCGAAGACTGTGAAAATAACCCATTTCCTTTCGAAAAGATTGTGAAGGCCTGCCTGACCTAGGACTCGCCTGGGCCGACATTGTGCAACGCAGCCAAAGCCATCGATAAAAAATGGACTGAATGCGCCGAAAGGCTACTGCTGAATGTAGAAACATTACGTCCGTTACCATTCTGCTGCTATTGGTCCTGCTAGCCTTTTGTGTACGTGTATAAGATCTTGGATGTACCCACGTATGAGCTAAAGCGTTAAGTATCTCATTCATTGTAATGCTCGCTGCCAAGTACCTAATGATTGCGTGACGTATATAGATTGTATTATACTTTATATCATAGAAAAATGAGAAGAATGTATAGAAGAATATATTAGGAAAACGTAATGAATTGTGTGCTACTTCGAATGGTTGTAACTTACGGGCCAGATCAAACTGAGAAAAATAAGGATGAAAACTAATCCACTTCATTCTGTTTGTCCTTCAAAAGACGCGCATGCCGATAACAAACATATATTATATTTTTATTTTTTTTGTTAAGAACTTTAGAGGGAGAAAAATTATATGCGCATTCTTGTTTTTAAATGCAGCCAGTGATTGTTGAATGATGCCTAATTCGGTTTTTATGAAAAATAAAAACCGAATTAGGATAGTTTTAAAAAAACTATTTTTACTACGCTATCGCGTGCACAATGAATTAATGACGGTGTCTCAGAATGACTCAAGCATAATTTTCTCATCCGGCCAAAATTGCAGCTTCATAATACCTGTGTATTTTCAATTTTATTGTATTACCGTAATAACAACTGTTATGTAATTGGTTAACGCGATTCCGCTCTGTTTAGATTTGTGTCCTTCTACTATTTTTTTTTTTTTTTTTCTCTGTCCTGTATTTGTTTTGCGTTGCATTTTTAGGTGGTCGATTAAAAGTGGACTTTTTGGATCATACAGCTGACAGCTCATGGGAGGGCGCTTCAGCACTGAGTACAGTGGCGGTAGGAGGTTGCTGGGAGCCAGACGCTTGCATAGCACGCCATCGAGTAGCTATTGTAATCCCTTTCCGGGATCGTGCAGAACACCTCCAGCTGCTGCTACAACACCTGCACCCCATCCTGCAGCGGCAGATGCTCTCTTACAAAGTATTCGTTATCGAACAGGTATGGCTAACATACGAATGTTAGACACGATCAACAACGATCTAACTTGTTTGGTACAGTTGTGTGTGCCCTACATGCATGGACAGGGCACCGAGGTGCGAGAGCACAATGTGTTACATCGTGTAGCACATCGTGCCACCCCCACATAGGCTCGAAACGTGTCTTTTTCAATGAATCCATTCAACAGAACTCCCCCTAACGGCGAGGCGAGGGGGAATACAACAGGTACATAGCAATTAATGGCATTAACTCGTCATGGTTCATGTATATAGATGTCGGCTGAAGAGGTAAGCAGTGGCTGCTTTGTTTCCTTCGCGCTGACATGACACGCCATAAAAGAAGGATGTCAATTCATCCTCGGCACCCTCTCCCGTTGAACCTTACCTGCCAGCCTGTTTTTGAGAACCTTATTTGCTTTTTTTCGACTATATGGCTCCCTAGCTTTGTTCCGGCTATGCCCCCATATCGTTTATACATCCTGTATACGTAGCATCTCTGTGTTATTGCTCGCCCTGCAATTCGTTTCACACAGATCTGCCGGCATTGTTTGCGCAATGATGATGGATTTAAATCGTCTCAGTAGTCGGTAACATTACACACAAGAGTCAGACGCAATTATCTAACATCATGTACATGCAATCCATCGTTTTACCCGATCTCGACGTAGTCTCTCTTTGAAGCTTGCTTCGAAACATGCCCATATCGTTTACCTGTCTCGCTGTCTGTGTCTTGTTACACAGTTGGGGATTAAGCGGAGGGTAACCCGAGAAGGTGGCAATATATACAGAAGTTGATCTATGGGCTGGCCTTGCTCGTTTTGCACAAAGACAACAAGCGCAAGTAAAGAGCGCACCAAAATATATATTGTACTATTGGCAGACGTATTATTAACCACACACACATCGAAAAATTTTCTGGCTACATTGTACTCATCCCCGTAGCCTCGTTCCCGGCATGGAGGGAGAGCTGCATAGTCCCTCGTCGCACACCGGCAGCAGCATCTCCAGCTGTTTACCTCACCCAATGAGCCTTGCAGTCGTAGTGAAGTTAGTGAAAATGAAGTTAGTAAATGGCTAGCCTAGCTTCCGCTCTCATTATTTACTTACACTGCGCTCTCTGTTACAGCTCTTCTTATCGCTGTGAGATCTAGCGCTCCGGAGTCCCTGCAATGAGTATATGTTCTCGTCAATGCCTTCTTCGAGAAGCCATTCATTATTCGATTGTGCCTTTGATCTTGCTACGTTCATCATTGTGCTGATCAATGTGATGATATATCCACATAATATACATGCAAACATATTTCGATCGATACATGCAGTTATGAATAGAGTATGCGTTCTACTGTATCTTGATGTTTATGGTTTTGATGGATATAATTCCACTTTGTCGTCCTACCATAAATATGTACCTTTCTACACCATTTTATTTTATCGTTAACATGCAACATTAGGTCAAGGTTACCATTTGCACACAGAGTCGATTGTGTAGCATTCTTAAACAAAAATAAACTATTACCAATTCAATAATTAAGCAAATTTACCCTTCGGCGACCCGTACAGTCCGGATTATACTCAAAAATGTCCCAGGCTAAAATGATGATGACTATTACAAAAATGGCCCGGTGCACTTTTGACGAAATGTCTAGCTCCATTTGACAGGCGATTCAAAAGCTTGGTAGGAATACAGACGGGTTGTCTTCTTTGAAAGTGTATTCTATACTTGATGTTCCTTTAATTGCTTTCATTTACCCTTAATTAAATGCTCCCGTATTTTTGTCTGGGGTAAACATCTTCTATACCCCGAAGCTCCACGATCTGAAACTCATGACTGCTCGGTCTTCCGATTGGTGTTATGTTTGTCAGCTGTTATTCTGCTATGCCGTCGCGTGGGTCTTCGATGCCCGCGGTTTTCCGCTATGGTTCATCGGCTCGCGAATTATCTGCAGCTTTGTCCTCTCGTTGGTCTGACGCTTCCTCTGCTCAGTCTCGCCTGCCACAGATATTAGTATTTTATTAATTGTTTCTCTCTTAAATTGATCTTCTTCGACGTCTGCCACTGATTTTCAAACTTCGGCTGCTACAAAGGTTATTAGACTGGGTTTCACGAAGTCCAAGTTCTTCGACCATTTAGTTTGTTTCGTTGCGAAATTTCAGAGTCTCTAGCTGTTCAACGTGGAGTTCACAGCGATATAAACGACTGAACAGCTTCGAGCGACCTGCTCGGGCTGAAGTCAAATAGGCGCATCCTTCTACGAATAACACGAATATATAATAACGAAATAATAATAGGTTACTTGTGAAATCATTTCATGCGGTAGAAAGTCTGTTTTTTTTATTAGCGGTAACTATGGTTAGTAGATTTTTCTGCGGCTTCGTACCACAACAAGTTAGTCTGAATATAGTTCTATGCTTCCGTGATGAAGTTTAATTTAATTCACGTGTATATTGTACTATAATACTAGCTCCTCTTCTACATTACTCAGCCTTTTTGTTGGCTCAATATCATAGTGCATCTGTGCGTAATGATTTTTATCAGTCTGTGTTCTGTTCTTCAATAACTTCTGTTCAAATTTTGAAGCATAGAAAGTCTTGAGTACATTAGCGCTTCGTCTCTAATTATCACCAGGTATCGACTGTCGTTTAGCGTCGATTCTCTGCGTACATAAAGACACAGGTCTTTATGCACGAATCCCAGGAATTAAGCAGCAGCTGATAGCTATTACGGGGTATTAGCGGAGTTGATACTCAGGATCCTTGCGGCACAAGTACTGCAGCCCTTCTCTGTTTACTAGCTATTTTATCTTGTCCTTTCCAGTATAGCCAAACGGGGCGTGAAAGTCCTGGGGCATACTTGCGATTCGGTCATGAGTGCTTTCGGATGTGCTCTAATCTTTCTTTTCTTAGAGGGCTCGAATTATACGGTTTACGTACGACAAGAGCATGTCTACCTATCTTGGAGACAAATAGTATCTCGGTCGTCAGGACTTTAACGATTTTGTTCCCCTTACGCATCATTTGTTTCACAGTCCCAAAGCCAATTACTTTAAGTGTTTGTTGTCCGTAGGTTTTCACTTTAGGACTTCCCAAAGTATACTCCTCGTTGGCATTGAACGTTGTTTAAGCTATCAGAATCCGCAGTTGAAACAAATGCATCTTCATCTTGATCTTTTCTATCAGTAGTCCTGGCTTCCATTTCTCTTACGTCGTGTACGCCTGGCCTTGACTCACAACTCGCATTTTGTGTGATTTTTTGACCTCTCTTATTGCATTTATAGCATCGAGAGATTTTGTTTTGACTCAAGAAATCATCTTGCGGACTGTGCTTATCTAAGTGATCTTGCCTTTTATCTTTTATTATAAGCCTAGAGGAAAGTGCTGTCGTTAGATCTTCCCGACTGAAGGTATTGTTTCGCTGACAGTCATCTGTTGTTTAAGCTCCGTACAAGATCGAAACAATCATTAAACGTTGTAGCTTCAGCGGAACGCCTCCCAACCGGCTGGAAGAACGGCTACTTACGGTCCAACTTAAATAAATTTATCTGGAATTTCAGATTTTTTTTGACAGTACACAGTGATTTTGGCAAAAAGCTGCCTATTCCCTTCTGCTGTGTTCGACGTGTTGTGTAGGAATATCGTGAGTTAACCAAATGCTTCTGATCGAAGGCGTCTAGGACGCGGTACTCTCCTTATTGTTTCCCTGTCGAATTAACACTGGCTGCCTTGGTCTCTATTCCATTGTAGAGTGGTCTCGGGTTTAGGATCATTTATTAGTATTGCGCGGGCTGCTATGTTTTCTGTTCAAGATGAGCGAAGGTCATTTTTTTATGTTTATATGTATACGTTTGAACGTTTGATATTGTTTTTGGACAAGTTTGGAACGAACGCTTCCTACGCGAATTTTGGGACCCTTTGTAATTAGATGTTGCAAGTCTTCCATGAGGGCTAATTAAGATTGGTAGCTGATAAGGTTGAGTGGAATCTCACTTTCTTTTTCTTGGAAAATATTTAGTGCACGTATGCTTTATTCTTCTGTTACAGCTGTTGTTACTGCTGTGAAACCACCCTACGTTCCAATATGTCGATGCTGAAAATATATTCTTGTACACAATACTATCTTTTTTCGACGGATTCCATTGCAAGCCACCCAAATTTCTGCCAGAACGCGGCCCTCCCAGATGCTTCCTGTTTTACACAGTGACCCCCGTAATAACATAGTATTTGTTGTGCGCTAGAAGCACCTATGCCGTTTTCAGCTTGACAAATTTCATCACTCGCGTATGCTAAGAACCCGGAAAAAAGGGCACTATTGGCACTACTGCGCGTGTTACCTGTGGCCGATCATATAACGGCCAATTTTCTTGTCAAGAGGAGAACTGACGCACAACGTTCGGCTGTCACTTGCAGTTGGCATTGGCTCGTTAGGCTTAATAGAGAATACAGTGACAGAGCACCATTGCATTACATACACATAGGTAGTATATAATAGTAGAGCATTGTACTGATCGAGCTAAAACGGAATCAATTCCGATGGTCTTTTACGCGGTGGAAGACGCACCGCTCACACGCACCAGGACGCTATCTTGATCATTATAAATAAAATGAGATAAACGTGATAAGCCTAGCACGTTTACAAGCTGCAGCAAGCGTTCACGAGGCGTGACGCTGTAGTTTCGTGCCTTTCGAAGTAATGCGTGTGCTAGCAGTGCTTGCCAAAAAAAAGCTACACAGATCAGAAAAACGTAGCCGATGATTGCCTCTTTACGTGCAATCAAGTTGACAATGATGCTGCTGGGGCCGCCGAGTTGGTTTGGATGTATCCATTTGATCAAACCTCGTTTTGAGGTGGAAGAAGATGGTTGGCAAGAAAAAACCCGCAGGGGCAAAACACTCTCTCTGTCGTTCATTCGCTCTCTGTTTCTGCGATGCAGTAATCAGTTACTTTCACTTGATTTGTGCTAAGGTGCTCTTAGCTAACTAGGGCAATGCCGGAAGAAAGCTTATTATAAAACGCTGTTGGTGGAACTGCTTTGTTCTCGCCTTTGATTAGTTTTGCTTTTATTATTATTTAGGAATCCCGTTATTTGCATTCAGATGTTGTGCATGTGCTTGCCGTATAGTGTAATAGTTTAATTGGAAGTTATTATTAAGTACACACTCATCTGTTTGCATGTATTCTGTTCGTGGATCATTATTCGATGGACATAAATAATATTCATTTGGTGGGATACACCGATGCAGTATGGCAATGATACGTTCAACAAAGGGGTGCTGTTGAACGCCGGTGCTCGAGAGGCGCTGCAGGACGCAAAGGACTATGAGTGCCTGGTGTTTCATGATGTGGACCTCATACCCGAGGATGATCGCAACTTATACTCTTGTCCTACGCTGCCGCGACACATGTCTGTTGCGGTCGACAAATTCAACTACACGTAAGTAGAACGTAATAGAAAGTAAATCTCAGGTACTGGAAGTAATACTACATGTTCGAACCACAGGTCTGGTAAAGTAACGATTGCGTTTCTAATTCTGCAGCATTATAGATGGAACGGGTAAAGGCCAAAACCTGCATTGAAGCGTACCCAACCATATTGTCATTGGACAGTTAATCCCTACAGCTCGAACACTAGGGTTTAATAAAGCAACGAGTCTTCCTTACAATTTGATAACTGTAGTTTGATAGCTCTGCATTAATATAATGTATATATATGTCTGTCAACCTATATTAGGTCTTTTTTATACAGCAGCACAGTAGCTTTCAGAAAAGTGTATGTAGGTACATAAATACCGTAGTTAAAACATCCACTTAAGGGAACATGGTCGTGTTCTTCAAGTTTCAACATGTTTGCGCACAAAATGGGGGATCATTTGTCGGCCAATAAAATCACGAGTAAACGTTATCCTTTTTTATGAAACGGCGGCGGCAGCAGCAGGTGTTTTCGACTCGTTCGACGGCGTAATGGATCCCCCTCTCTCCGTTGGCGGTCGAAGGGGTAGATATGCTATTACCAGACTGAGTATTGATCTTTAAGCTACCAGCTTAACGCGAAGGGTGTGGCGTAGTAGACGCTCTCAGCCTTAGGACCTTCAGATCCAATCTCAGCTACTGAGTAGACACAGAAGGGGCGATCGGATTGCTGATCTTCAGATCCTGTGCAGTGGGCAGTCAGCAGACTTGGCACATACCCTTCCCATAACCCCACAAAGTCTGCCAATAGAAAGTGGGCGGACAATAGTGGTCTGACATTTTTTTCAGGACTTGGCAGTCGCCGCCGCTGCTGCTGTGTTTTTTTTTTTTACTTTTTATTGAGAAAAAGGCCCGAATGTGATACAACTGACTCGGTCAGCTCACCGAGCTCCGGAGCGCGACGAAGGTTGGCTGGTAGGTTAACCTGACAAACCATACGCTGTTGTCTATAACACTTCATCGCTTTGTCGTTGCTGTTATTATCTTTTTTTTTTTTCTGATCGTGAGGAGTAACCTTTAAGCACACGAATGTGTAAATTTAAAGTCAAGAAGAGAAAAGATTGGATGTCCGAGTTGGTGCCAAATACCGGGGCAGATTGGGCTATCAAAGAGGACGCTTGTATCGCGACAACGAGGACTGAATATCGATGCATTGAAGTCTTATAGCACATGCCTATGTCTAAGCTGACGCTGAGACCGATCTGTAATAGCTGCATTGCTGTAGAACTAAAAAGGTTTTAGACCACATTAGACGTTTGTCAGATAGATTAGAGACATTGGTGTATACGATATTAGAATTAATTTTTTTGACGGAATTGAGATTTGTAGTCAGGCAAACATCGAACAAATCATCTGGTGACTTTCATCAATTCTGTCAAGAAAAACTTTATCGCCCTTTGTACATAGATGATTTCCCAAGTATAAAACCATATTAGCTGAAATGGATAGTCCAAATCAACAAACAGCTTTAGAAACGAAGTAGGACACAGACATTTGAAAACATAAAATAGCAACCTGACAAAAAGACGCAAAACTATCGAAGTAGAAGTAAACCTAGCAATTGTGTGCATCCTCAGCAGTCGCTCTATTTTTCACGAAGAAAAAAAAAACTTCAGGTTCAACAAAATTTAAAAAGACCATATCCTACGACAAAATACAGAGGAAGATAGAACCGATAATAACTATGAACCGGCTATCCTAATAAACAGCGACTATTTCTTACTGCACAAGAAAGGATTCGTTGTTTGTGAATAGCGAGCATGAGAGATAGATTGACAGAGAAAAAGAGCGTATCTGCTAGAACTAAGCAATCTAACAGGACTCCCCCATCCTCAATAGAGAAATACCACCCCGATATAAGATCTAGTAGGTCCTAATCGCAAAAAGGGTTAAGATGTATCGGAACCTTTGACTCTGCCGAGTCGAAGTAGAGGGTCCGGTACCGTTGATAGAACGTACGTCTACTTGTATTAGGCATGCACTATTGAGCCCTTCTTGTTTCTTACTGCTTCTGAGAATGAGACTTTGCTTAGTAATTGGGTAAGGTCCGGATAACCGAGTCGCTGCAGCCTATACGGCTACCGATAACCGGAAACGGATGGTGGAGGATGACACGCGATCCGGTAATATCCTTGGTTAGTAACAGTAGTTATAAGACGAACAATATTATGTCAATATGATGGCGGTAAACGGGACGTAAAGATGCTGGCCACGTGGACTGGATTGGGACAAAAACTGCTACTTTTATCTGGTAACGGAACCATAACGAGAAGTTCCCTAATTATTTTTGTTACTTGTCGAGATAGGATGATTTCATATTTGTGTGAAGTCTCATCTATCCGTCCCTCAATTGCCAACCCATCATAAAGATAAAGTATTATGTTATGTCGATAATTTTCCCTGGGATAATGAATTTTTTTTACAAATATGCCTACAATTAGGAGTAGTAGTTATTAAAAAAAAGTGTTAAATTCAACCGAAAAAAAACACGAATGCAAAACGTCAAGCCCATTGGGTTAGATTAATGAATTTTCTCTGATAAAAGCGACAAAAAACACGCTCAGTTGTCTTAATGGGTAAAACTATTTAGACTCAGAACGTATTACAAAGGGCAATAAGCACCTCGGAATCTCAAATCCTTAAACTCAGATTTCATTTTTCAATGTGATTAATCTACAAAATTAAAAAAATAACGTACTCTTAGATAAAAAAAAAAGTGAATACGTTTTATCTGGTATATTATAATTTTGTGTGCAGTAAACTGACGTGCGTCCATAGCAATTTGTAATTCCTGATTGTCATGCTTGACACAATGTATTACCTATTGTTTCGTTTTGCCACCTACTTATCTATTTTGGAAATTATTTAAAGTTAGCTGAGAAAAAGTTCTTTTTCGAACGTTTGTTCTAGTTTTGTTTTTTTTTTTTACAAGAACGTGTAATAAATACGAATAATAACTATGGGAGCCGCAAAAAAAATTACGATGAATCATTATTAGTACGTAGCGATTTATGTAGCAGTTGTAGACGTTCCGAACCCATGTACGGTCTGCCCACGTTCGCTTTTCTTTTTACCCATCCACCCTTGCGATTTAGTATTTGCTTCGCTGTTGGGGAAAAAATACAGGAGGCGATATACGTAGATAAAAGTATTACTTCGATTTTTTTTTTTTGATAGGTCAACAAACAAAGCTATCTCGGACATTTTTAACTTATTATTACCGTTGTCTTTGGAGCTTTTGCTAACTTGCGTTTTGCATACACCTTCGCCAGTGTAGTATGCGATGGCTATATGCATAACAATATAATTATAGCTTGATTACTAGTAACGTACACCTAAGGCAAGAACGTACAAATTCCGCGCTGCGATAGCGTATAGTCTGACATAATGGACGCAGAATCGTGTCGCTCTAAGCGCGATTGGCAAGAGAAGTTAGTGGAACAGACGAAGAAGGTTCGACGATGCTCTTGATGTAGTACATCGCGCTTACTGCGGTAAAATACCGGTCACTATCAGAAGTTGAATGATTTCGTCGTTCTGGGTCTGTACAGTGGTCTGACAAAATGCCCATGCTGCTCTGTTGAAAGCTGTACTATTCAACGATCTTGCACTTCCGCCAACGCCGCGTCTAGTCTATAAGAGCTAGTACGGTCAGTAGAGAAACAACTCGCTCTACGACCGCTAGTTTACCAAATATTCCTACTCACGATCTTATACGAGAATGCTAATGCGTCGTCGAGGGACCTGATTTAACCTCGTCAAACGGGAACACAGAACATTGTTCGCGTCATCACCTGCATAGCTGACCGCTGGCAGCTCTGTATGCAAAATGACATAGCAAGTAAGTTTTTCAGTAAGCTCGAACCTTACAATCCTTAGTGCTTTTCAATAATAAACCACGTCTCTTACGGAGGGCAATCAGCCACAACGTCGGTCGTGCATGGAATCATCGGCCAAGAGCACTAGGCATAGTATAGGTATGCGGACATTATATCTGCGAAGAGAAGCGTCTTTATTAAACACGATGGCATTGCGGTCATGACCGCTTATGAATTAAGGATCGAGAGCACTTTGCTTCGAACATTAGAGGTCCTTGTCTTCCGCGTCTGCGCGTCTAAAGCGAGCGGTATATTATTACACGAGCTATTACATCAAACGCTGTTATAAAATTGATTTTTACTTGTGCTTAAAACTCGATCCATGATGCTACCGAACTTTGCTAGTAACAGATCAGACAGCCGTTCAGACGTGATATGTTTATGTGGATCGCATCAATAATATATATATATATATATATGTATATATACAGTGCTTTTGCAGGCTGTGTATCGCAATAGGCATGCGCTCATCCGTTCTATCTCTAGAGGAAGTATCAAAATCCAAGTTTCGTTTAACGTCATTCTTTAACTTTAACCAAAGGTGCCAAATCCTTTCGCACTGGATAAGCTATCGACCAAGATCAGAAACGTGTTTTTTCAAACACGCAGGCAAAATAGCCTGTCTACGTTGCTGCCGGTTTTCTACTCTGAATACACAATTTATGTTATTGCCAGCTTTCATGCAGCGGTTGCAAAAGTCTCAAAGAGATCTCGACGAAACAAACCGGAAGCCTTTTAGTCATTGAAATACCCAGACTTCTAATAGTGATACTGACAGCGCTTTCAAATAGTAGAGCAATATTCCTCAATTGGCTCCTCCCGATATAATCCAATAGTTGGTCTTTGGATTTTTCGACAGCTAATTCTGAACTTCTCGGTTTTGTACTTGTGTAAGCTCTTTAACTTCTATTAGTCCAAAATTAGTTGTACTAAACGTTTTGTATATAGGCGCATTCGAACTCTATACACAGTATCGCACGATTACGGCAAATTATAACGAATTATAAGCGCTTAATGAAAGAATATCTTGATTACAACTGGTGAGCAGTTCAAATCCCATAATGAATGATCTTCATATTGAATATACATAACTATCGGAAATGACACTTCCAGAAAATATGCTACAAGTGATGTATATATGAGAACTTCATATGTGCTAACTTTGATACTATATAAACTTACCTCCTTCTTTCAGATTCTCAATCATTACATGTCAAAGACTAACGAGGTCTGAAATGTCGAGTGAATCTCCACGGTTTGTATAGGGGTTGTGTTTCACCGGTGGAACAGTCACCCAATTAAAAATGGATACATCTAAAGATTCTCCTAAGGACCCAAACTCTTGAACATGAACTCGGTCAAGTTAACTCTTTTACATTTCCTCTGCTTTATTTAGGTCCATCTTCCTCGCTTTAAACCAGTTTATTCATACGGCACAACATCAAATAGTATATTTGACAGAGGACTGTTTACTGGGCAGTGGAAGTAATGTCGAGCGCGGAATAAGTACGATTTAAATTCTACATACTCCCTTACGGTGTAACCGAATGTCAGCAGACTTACTTCAGTTCATGTGCTTGCGAAAACCTATTTTTTCAACTTGTACCAAAGGAAGTTGCTGTAAAAAAAAAACACTTTTACAAGTATAAGGTACAAGTCTATTCAGCTCCTCTACCCATTTGTCAATCATACATATGAAGTACGGGCACAAATGCATTTTTTCTGCTCTACGCCTGGTTCTTATATAGCAATACCAAGCCACCACCTTTCTGACCTGTGGATATATGACATGGCCAAGTCCACTGTACAGTTTGGGCGTCTGCATGTCTGCCTGCCTGCCTTACTAGGATGACAGGATATCATCAGGGTTTCAGCCTAGGATCTTGTAATCCACAACAGCGCGATGTACCCGTTAATCTCCTCTGCTTTAGCGTCGATTGTCGTTGATCGTTTTTTGGATCCGCCCGCCTACCATAAGGCCTTGTTTACTCTTAGCAAGCACTAACAGGAGCTTCACATCTAAACCAGACCTTTTTTCGCGCCACACTAATCCATCGAATCTGAATGTTGAAGCCCGGAAACGACCTTGCGTATTATAAGGAACACGGAAATTTGACTTACTGCCCACGTTATCTGATTCTACAGATAGTTGAAGTTTTCAGGTACACATCGGTACACCTAAGCGTCGTGTGCAAGCTTCGCAGAAGTCGGCAAAAAAAACGGTGATGGATTCATTCCATCTTCTTACATTCACACACACACACAGACACACACACACCCACACACACAAACGTACACAGAAGTTTCAAACGACAACCGGACTTACGCATGTACTCTTTCCTGTGAAGTGGTACTTTGCGTGCAATTCGCCCAAATAGACGAGTTTTCAACTCACAGCTGTCTACGGTGGATTCAAGCTAAACTTGGTAGAAGTTCATGAGCAATCCCGAACAGATGCTTATGTAAACAAGCATCGATATTTGATTCTGTTTCTAGGACGCTACTCCACGCTCTCCGCCAAACGACAAAGATCATAGACTGCAGTTTTGTCGATCCTTTCGTTTATCGTCTATTTAGCTAGCTAGTCTCTAGGCCAACTCGGCCTCACTCACTTCTCACGATCACCAGCTTTAATGATGATCCACTAGTACTGCCGGCACGAATGCCACTTACTTGTTTTACACTTTTTTTTTTACACAACAGCAACGAAAGAAGCTAAGTTTAAACAATATTACTATTGATACGCGTATATATACACGTGTGGTCGGTTTTTATTAATAGATATAGAAGAACAGTGATGGGATAATGGTTCATTGATATAGGTCAGCTGCTTGAGAGCTGTTTACATTAACAGGGGTTTTTTTTTATTCGATCGTGTGCAAGAGACAAAAAACGACAACAATATCAGCTAGAGCTAGCCTATGGGTATTTAATGGGGAATTTAGTTCTATTTTTTTTAATACTGCTTCGTTTTTGTCTATTGCAGGTTACCTTATGTACAGTTGGTGGGAGGAGTGTTCTCGGTGACGGTGCGGGATTTCGTGCAGCTCAACGGGTACTCGAATTTATACTGGGGTTGGGGTGGGGAGGATGACGATATGGCTCATAGGTGAGAATCGTATCATTCTTTTTCCATTGTTAGCTGTTACGCTTTGTTGACGAATACCTATTACAATATCATTAGATATGGCGGCATAATTATCGTTATCATTCTTATTGGCCCTGAATGCGCCATGTGCGTATATTGAACAACTAAAACAAACGCTAATATTTAGTAATTGAAGTTTTTTAGTTTTATTCGATATTTGCGAATATCTGTTACCTAATACAATGCGTCAGCTATAGCTTGGCAATAAATTGAATTGAAGGCAGCATAAAGCACCGTAGCGAAATGAACATACCTTAGCCATGAATGTATATTTGCCACCTTTTAAATGGGGTAAATTTTGTGTAGTTTACGGGTCTTCCTTGACAATAGAGGCGACACATGGTCTTCAACGTCTTTCCGCGTTCAAACAAAACAAACAGAAAAAAAAAAGAAAACGAAACAGGTCGCTAACCTGCGTTTGTCTTGCGGGTATATACAAAAGCTTATAACGGCTTCGATATGATCTCGTTGTAGTAAGCGTTTACTAGGGCTGGGCTCACTAGCAAAATCACGATGGGTCCGTTTTCGCATCCTAAATCCTTTAAACGGTTAGACCATGACGCGTGCGCTACGACATCACCGAGATTATCGCTTCTAGCGGTAACGTGTTTTTCTCGAAATGATGAGCTTCTCATGCATCTGTGACTGTACTTCGGATACGTATATCGCGTTGTGTATATATATATATATATATATATATATTGTGATTCTGTGATAATCTAGACAAGGAAGAACATGATCTCTATGGTAGCATGAACTATTCGAGCTGATACGTTTCCAAAGTCACGCCAAATAACTACCCAAATTTCCAGTCAACGTGAATTGATCTGGTCGTATCTTTTTGCATGTTATTTCAAGTACGGTGGGGCTATATATGTTGGCCAGAAAGTAAGTAACGGTGTTTTGACTCGACGAAAAATGACGACAGTAAGAGCTCCATCAAAAGAAAGCTATATAGCTTTATCCGCACAGCTACTAGTAGTTCCGACATGAATAGAAGGTCGCTCACCCAAAGTAATTTGCAAAAGCTGTTCTATTCCCTTATAATATCAGTGGCACCATCTGTCAATTTTACCAATATCCACACGTCCATGCATTACCACTGAAACCCTATAAAGAAGCACCAAGCAACACGACAGAGGTAATTTCTGCCAACTGCTACTCCATGTTCTATATATATATATATACACACACACACACACACATGACACACAACCAGAATTGCGCTTCGATGCATACTTAGTGCTGCGTAAACGATTTAGGCATATATCCACTGACAAATCGTTATGTTATTTACATTTCGATCTTCTTTCCCTGTCCTTCCTGTTCTCAACGACTTCATCGTTGTCTAAGGATAAAACATAAGAAATTGAAGATCGTTCGTCCACCGGCGTCTGTAGCTCGCTACACCATGATTCGCCATGCGCACCGGCCCGAGTCTCCAAATAATATCAGGTTTGTTATCTTTTCTTCCTCGATCTTTTCCGCGGCCTTTCTACGCCCCTATTCTGGGTCATATTTTGACATACCGACTATGACACCGACTCGCGCATCACATTCTACTTCGTTACGTCTCGACATGGCTGTAAGCACGCTGCTGAGCACCGCCGTCCTTCATTAACTAACAGCTGTCCTTCTACTATCGACAATGGCGTCTAGTAAATGAAAAAACAGGATCGAGTCCGGTGTACCTGTTAGAATTTCTAGGCCATTATTGTTCGTAGCCACAAATATAATGGGAGAGTAAATGGGAAATGAAGGACACTTCTTCACGATATGATCTCCGCGTTTTGCGGTGGGATCGGATTTCCCGAGATACTACGTTGTTACCAATACATGAGTACTTGCTTATTGAATTCTATGATATTTTACGCATGTCCCTCTATTGATCCTACACACAAATGTTCCACGATTCTCTGTGTGGCTGCACCCAGACAAACACTTTACCCATACTGGGCTATCACATATATCTACACCAGACAAAACTCCAGTGCTGACGGAGACAGTAAGAAAATGTGAGAAGGGCTGAAAGTTTAGGTGCGTTGGCTTCTGTTTGGATAACACGTGGGTACAATTGAAATCGGCCGTTGCCAAGTGCCCCTAAAGTCTACATCCAACGATAGTCAAAGGGTTAGAGAGGGACTTTCGAAGCAATGCTCTGATGTCTTACGCCGGCAACCGTCGATGCTAGAGTACTTGCTTGAAACCGGGCTGAAGGTGGCCGCTTAGGACCACTTTTAGTGGGAGAGGACAAAGGCCAATAAGCATAGGTAGCCGTCTTGAGGAACTGCGGCCCCGTGTAATTATAATACAGTGGGATTGAGGAGGACACGTTGAATTCTCATTTGAGTAGCTCAATCCAAGGGACAAGCTAGACGAGCTCGAAAGGAAGAATAAAGGAGACCCTGTTATGTTAGCATCGAACGTCGGACCAGGAAGCAAGACTGTGAAAGATAGGACGATGACAAGAGCGCATCGCCGAAATATCCTTTAAAAGTCGGAAGAAATATGTTATTATTTTTAACACAGTTACCGAGCTAGTTAACATGATATGGATATGCCATATCAAAGATGATATATACAACGCTGGACAAATGTCTTCAGTCGATTTGAGGAAACCCATCTGGCAGCCTGGAAGTTTTAACTTTAAATCTGCTAAACTACCATGTGGTAGAATCTAGTGAATATAACGTAAAAAGAAGTTTAGAACGGTTCGTCTTTTAAACAGCCAAGTGACTTTGGCTTGAGCTTTCTATACGTGCTGCTATTAAGTGACATATATTCGTCTGAGATGCCGACTGACGACCGATTCCGTAGTAGTCACAACGGCTATTTCATAAACTGGTAGACTACCACCTCACGGCCCTGACTGCTGCTGATCGTCTACCAGGAGATCAATTTGGAAATTATCATAGTAGCGTTCTGCCGAACCCTTTTAATATTGGCTTAGCATGCCGCAATGACCTCTGTAAATGTCCATATTAATATAATTGCTAGATTTAACTTTCATTTGTTCCTTTATCGATACAGATGTATATAAGATAAACGATCGTAACGCTATCCTGATTTGGTGCCTAAACAAGATAAATCTCCCTCTAATTCAAAGACACAAACATTCTAATCCTCTAGCTTTGTCGGCTAATCAACGTAATGACTGAATATTAATGAGCTGGCTTACTTTGTCAGGAAAGGCTGTTGTCTACCAATTAACTCCCCGTTGCGCTTGCTTTTCTCTCGTTGAACAACAGCAAACCTTCAGCTACTTCATCGTCAATATGGCCTTGTCATTAACTTCGGAAAAAGGGGTGGGGATGAGGTGTGCGCAACCCGTCACTCACAAGCTTGCTTCTTGTGGCCTTCCTTTGGTGTTATATGGTATATGGCATATGGCACTGATCAAGAATGATGACTGGTCAAAACCATAGTTGATACGTAGCTATGAACCACTCTGTTACAAGCCAAGCAACGAATTCCGATGAGTAGAACAAAAAAGTTTATAAAACACAGTAAATAAATATCATTAGTTTTATAAACGTTATAAGCTGGTCATTATTTGCTAGACGACGATAATAAAATAGGCCGAGAACTATTACATGCGTTGGATGAACTCAAGCATGAAAAACAGTAGTAATAACTAACACAATCTACTCTTTGTGAGTGTTGAAGGATCGAGTGCCTGGCACCGCGAATATCTACGAAACGCTCACAGACGGTCATGAAAGAACGGGCAATGTGTCTGCGCGATTTCGGCGGCTTTTTTCAAAACCTATAATTCATAGTAGATATATATATCTACGTTAGCTATCGTCACATTTATTGAATGACTATAAAGCAGTATGTTCTAGTCAGAGTGGTCATCGACACTCGCAGCCACGGGATCCAGTGGAAATGCAACAATAGCAGTATATTAGCTGACAGTTGACATTATGCCTTTGAATGCTGAACGAGGTGGCGTACCTTAGCTAGATGTTGTTAGGAAATGCACTGATTAATAATAGTCTGTCTGCTGAAATAGTCTATCTGTATCATTGAATTCGGACTCGGTCCTGATAGTGGCCATTTTCAATTTCAAAAGTACATAGTTTTTGAGACGGAATGCGAACGCAATGGAATGGTTCGTCCAAATGGCCCTATCATGTCATGTAGACTGCTAGCCTAGAGTAAGAACCTAACCTCTAATATGGATTGTAGACGTCAATGTGGGGCCAGGTATTGTTGTGTCGCAAGGGCCACTCGTGTAGCGGAACATAGTGCTCTAAGGACACGTAGGTTTTTTCAGGGAGTCTATTATAGATAAGCATATTCACTAAGAAATTTTATAGTACACACTGATTAAACTCTTGACTTGATATTTTTATTCTTTATTCTTATTTTGCTAAAACTTGGTAAAGACGTATTGTCTGTATCGTGAGATGAAGGCGTCCTCGTAAGTAAGACGTTACCCGAAAAAAATTATCCCCAATATAACAAATCGTTTAAAGTTTTCAATAACTTTAGACGCATTACTTAAAATGAAAAAAATATCTATAAACTGAAATAGACTTTAGATTTTTCCTTCTTGTTTCGAAATTGGGTATTGAAAACGACTGGACGTAGAAAGAATCACAAGAACGATAATACTCTTATTAGTCAAATTGCAATAAATTGGTCTACTAATAGCCCTTGCCAAAAACGGCTTTATTTCACCTGTCCTTGTAGGCAAACCATAACAATCCGAAGGGCATTTTCTCATGGCGGCTAGTGTGATCAATGTCAATTGTGCAGCTAATACAGAACAATTTGATTAATACTGTTATAATAATAGGTAATATAGCGGAAAAAAAAAGTTTACCGCACGATAACCTGTGCCAGCTTTATCGGCTCAAGGCATTGATCAATTGATAGTAATGGGCTGTCTATGTTGACTCAGTAACCCCTTGTGGTCTGCATTTGAAGTTGTCTGTCAGCGGCAACACCAGTGGGGCCGGGTAAGTTGGTAAGATTATAAATGTAACAGTAAGGTGTATTGTCGGCATTCGAAGGTTTTGTAGAAATTCTAATCTACAGATGATCATGCGCTGGCCATATGTTAAAAGTTAGTAAATACCAACGATGTTCCTATCAAGCAATGATCAATCGGTCTATTCTTATATGTCTAAACTCTGTGCTGAAACAAACCGGAGAGCATTAGGGCTGCTATTAGTCAATATTTTTAAGGGAGAGTAGTTTTAAGTGAAAATGTCTATGTGTATCCCAAAATAGAAAAAAGCAACCCCATTCTCAGATTCCTAGCTATTTCCAAAGTAGAAGTGATTTTTACCTTTTTGACTCGCGATAAACAGTTTTTGTTTATACTTACAGCTAATTTGAAGCTAGACTATACAGTACGGAATTGAGATTTGTTGTTTTTAGAGAAAGGCAATATATCTCTATCCCGTAGAGTGTGTGTATATAATATATAGGACATAGCGCTATAATATACAGGCAGAAACAACAGATCGGCTTTCCCCTTCTCCACTCCATTTACATTATCTATGCAACTATAAGAATCAGCTTCTGACAAAAAGCGGAATGAACACGATAATCTATACGATGATAGATAACTGTCTTGCTTTGTTTTTTACTCAATTCGTTTATCTTGTTCTTGCCGTCCTTTGGCCTAAAAGGAAAATGAAACAAAAGGTCTCTGATTGTCAACCAAAAGCTGTCTGGCCACTTGCTCTTTTTTTATTTACAGCGGCCTGCACCTTTGCTTTTTTTTACTGCTGCTATTTTTTGCCTTTATTCTGTGTTCATTGAAATAAATGAATTCAAAACCCTTTTTCTAACTGAATTGTTCCCTTTTTATGTCTGGACACAATGCGTTCACTCCCTGTAGACAACAATGAAATAGCGCCGTTGCCTTTCACTCTCGTTTTCAGCGAGTGTTCAGAGCCTCACTTGGTCGGTCGACGCTGTTCCGTGTCCGCTTAACCGACGATTTGGTCCGTTTGCTCTTCTGAGAAAATTGAATTGTGGCAAAGAATCGGCAATAGGCCAATAGATGAAACCTCTGCGAGTCGAACTTTAAACGAAAACGCACGGGTCAAGGGGAAAAAATAAAGAGGGGGAGAGACAGGAAAGACCTTACAAGGCCTCCGCCCATTGCCACTGCTGCCAGGATTTAAGATGCAGAAGCCGGTCGTTGCAAGCCGAAACAGCGCATCAGGCAGCAGGCCAGACGGTCGCCGGGACTGATCAAGAGGCTCCGGCTCAGAAGCAGTATTGTTAAAGCGGAGTCCGTAAAGCAGACTGAGTGAATCTGCAGGAGCATCGTGGTCAAAGAAGCTGGCTGTCGCTGCTGTGTACTAGGTCTCGATGCGTGTGTAGACGTCTGGAATAAACGGTGTTCGACGTAGAGCATAGAACCACTCAGCGCTCATTTCCGGTTGCTCCGTTCGTTCTCTCTGATTGGCTTTTGTCCCCGCTAGTTCCATAACTGAGGTTTCCCTGTATCCTAACATGGAAGCCCCAGTTATGGCAAGTGAATCAAGCCGATTAGATTTCTTCTGTCGGCGTCCTGTCATTCCATTTATTCAAACGCGTTGAGAGCCACTGCTGTTGCCATCAGGTAAGACTACCTTCATCTGTCTGAGTGTTCACAGTTGTCGAGCGCTGAGCTTCTGTACGTGTGTGTCGGTGTCTCAGCGTTCCTATAAAAGCATGGGCGTATTTTTTATGCACGTATGTATGCGCGTACCTATCCTAGGATGTTATGGACGGGATTAAGAAACCACGGGGCAGATATATAAAGTAAAGCCAAGTAGAGAAGCAAAGAGAGTATGGGGGTCGGGTGAGGCCTGAAAGTTTTAGAGTGGGAACGGTGAACAGTCAACTCGGTCGAATCGGCTCGTTGAAGAAAGAAGAGAATGGTGACCAAGACCAAGGAAGAGACAGCGAGGCCATCGCTTTACGCCCCCGCTACCTCCGTCTGCCGATTTACTCAAAAAGGAGGGCAGAGTGATTTTTGGATGTCCAACATTGGAATTGATCAGGCGTAAAAGTTCTTCTCGTGACCGCGACGCGGCGGCTCAGTCCGACGCTGTGTCGTGTCAGCTATCTTCTCGCTGGGTTAGCCACCATTGACACCCACCATGAGAGTATGTTCTACGAGAGGGCGCCCTTATTTCGGCGATATACGGTGCGCATTTGCGAGTTCTACCCATTCTATTGATTTTTCAACTTCTTGCACTGTTGTCGTGCATTCTCGTTCCTGCCGTTGACCTGTAGAAAGCCACAGCAGCGGCCGCATCGTATCAAGGAGTAGGGAACAAGTCAGAATCCGCTTTGTGCAGAAGGCTTTCGCCACCACTATTTCTACCTGCTTCGCAAAAATAGCTGTGTCCGGAAAATGGTTGAAGGGCAAAAGATAAAGAGAAGACGTGCGAAAGAGGGCTTACTGGCCCCGAACGAGAAGAGAGAAAATGACATATGTAAATACACTGGCAGACACGGATCTATCGAGTCGTGATTATAATCTTAAGATGTACGGAAACAATTCGATGTGAAAGTGGCAGTAGCTTTAAAGTGTTATATTTGTACAAATGTCGTTTTTTAAAACTATAAAAAGCTTCACTCACCGCTCGTATTCCTATTGATAAAAATTGTCCTTTTTGCGGGCTAGCACAATTTGGAAGAAATGTAAAAGAATGCAAGATTTTTGTGGTAAACGATACGTTTTTTTACCCTGTCCTGCTACTACTGTAGAGGATGGTGCTATATACATATATATATATATATATAGTGTGTATGTGGTCGCCTTACGACGACGAGGGCTAAAATGATAGAAAGCATTAGAAAAAGAGGCTCAACGGATCGTTAACCTCCTTCATCCACTCGTGCAAGTCTTAACGTTAATTAGCATTAACTTAGCCAGAGAATTTTCCTACTGACAGAGAGGTATGTAAAGCAGGTACAGTCGACAAAAATGGTAAGGGTCAGAATAATATAATATTTCAAAGATTGTCAACGAACGTATTCTAAGCTTTAATAATCTTCCAAAAAGGGCCAAAAAAAGGAAACACAGCGCCACCGTGTAACAGCGCTATTTACCGACATACATTTGCCTGTCTATCACTATAACGCGTCACATGTGTGTGGCGAATTTCTTACACATACCCACGACGTCGTCGGCCGCGTCAATTAGCCGATAACGATAAGTCCTACACGATTCATACTTGAGAATACGTTTGCTAAGGCCGGCTTCAGTTCGGTTAGCGAGAAACTAAGTGCTGAATGGAGAAGGACGAAAAGGCCTGGACAGAAATACCTGCTGTCGATTATAGCTGTGGCAGTACCGCAGCGGATAGCTAGTGTATGGTGTGCGGGAAGTGTATGTAGAAAGAATATATAAAAGACTTCTTTTCGTTGAAAATCTAATTTGTACGTGTACGGAAGGTATTAGGTCTCAACATAGTTAGAAAGGGCTTCCACAATGAAAAGCAAACTTGTTTACTTGTGTACTTTTGTTAAATTAGATTGGTTTGATTAGCAGTGAACAAATAAAGCCGTCAGCTAAAAAGCTGGGGACCAACAAGCATGGATCGGTTTGCCTTGTTTACCTGTTAGCTCACCATATATATGCACAGTAATAGCCACTTGTGTGACTGGCGATAAATTAAGTTCGATATGAGCAAAGAGCATGCTTATATTCTTAATAATGTATGGCACTATTTTTTTTTTGCTGTTGTCTTTTCTGCGTTTCATGTTGTTTTGCGATCTCTCGCCCTCCCCCTCGTTTACAGGATGACCTTCATTCGAATGGCCTCGTACCGGATGAATCGTGACGGGCTTACAACGGCTAAATACATAGTGATGTCTAGACACGCGACGCCGCTGTACACGAAAGTCGTCGTCGACATCGGGCACAACCACAAATGGCATTTTGCCAACCCGCAGAAGCTCATCGTCAATCTCTAAGTCGATCTTCAAACAAACGTATAAAGCCGGACTCCTGGAGATCCCTGGAGCTTACTTCAATCACCCATCCAGCCTCCGACTATTTTTTCTATAGGGCGTGCATCGACCCGGTACCGAAGTGCTTCGTTTGAGCTTCTGCCAAAGACCACCGCGCGCTCTGATACTGCTACACTTCGAGCGGCACCTATAATAGCAGATTAGAGCGGGTCGAACTCTCGTATGCGAATACGATACGGCGTATGACTGGAAGACCATGCTAAAAAATCAGTCTAAAAAAGCTAAATCACAGCCACCATCATTATCCGAAAATACGAAGGATTGAAGTGGCCGAATCATATGAGGAATCTAATCCTCGACGGATGGATATGGGAACGGCTTATGTTGAAAGCAAACACCGTAGCCAAGCACTGTCTTGCGAGGCGATAGCGGAGACGAAAAAACTAAAATCCTATAGAGAACATGTCTTCATCAGAAAAGTTCGTGCGACCTAGTGCCGTTTGGGTCCAGTCGGCGAGACCCGTTTCACTAGAACTACTACTGAGCTCTGTTTCGAGCTTTACGTCCGGTATCGCCGTCAGGCATTTCAGCACACGGCTGGCTACCAAAACGGAACGAAGTCTATGTTCGGGTTCGAACCCATACCACATCGTGTCTCTAAGGCTAGCAGGCAGATACTTTACCCGCTAAGTTATAACGGGAACACTGTTATAGCCTACGAGCTAGATAGCAAGCCGAACAAGGATATCCAAAAGAACCTACTGGTCGAAATTTATGACAAGCGTGTTGCTTGAATAAGCACGATCCTACTGCTTAACTGGGTTCGCTGTTTGTGAGTGTCCGTGTGAACGTCAGCTTACGACTGAACTGGGTTGACATATCGTGTATCGACGCGTGAATCTTTCGTAATACTGCTACTAAACGTTGGGTCGATAAATCGTCCATAACAATGCAGCAGAATGGAGAAAATAGCCCCATAATGGTCAAAAACCCATTTAGAGTAATTTAGGCTATCGCAGGCGCTAATCGTCTAGTCGCAGACGCGCCGTGTAACCGCATCAAGAATAGAGGCAACAGTTTTGCATGTCTGCAATAGTTTAATTGGACGTGACAAAAATCTCTTTTTGTCCTGACAAAGATACTTGTACCATACGATTTGACGCTCGTTGTTAGCAGGTGTTTTGTTGTAGCGAGACCGGAGTTTATCGCCATTCGTTGACGGACCTTCTTGGGAATTTTTTTGCGTGTTGCATTGGACCTTATACAATATGTGAATGCTCAGTGACCTACTGCTACAAAGCAAAGGATTAGATGAGTAATGTGCATTTACGTTCGGGGATGCCTAAATCCATACTTTTATGCGTGCCTATGTATCACAAAGAAAATGAGGAGTACACCAATAACAAAGCAGAGACAACATTAGGAACGACACAAATTATCAATCACTTAAGCTGGCCGGTACGAATTCGCACTGACTAATCGTGCGTATCTGGGACGCAGACACCCGCTCACACACGATCATCGTAGACCATGGAAAGCGTAGTCGCGATCGTGCCGGCGAGAATGGACGAAAACAGTGAGGCATAACGGTAGCACCGAGAACGAGAAACTTTGCTGAAAAAGAACTTGATGAAAAGCAATTAGACCCACGGCGTGAATGTATAAATCGGTAGGAAGCAGGCAGTCTGGGAGAATTGGAGACGGCGCTTGAAGATTGAGATGTTGAAAGAGAAGGTTTTTTACGTTGGCAACGATCGAAGTCGCAGCAGGGAGCAGGCGAACAGTTCGACAAACAAACATCCGGCAATCAGTAGTACTCAAGCTGATGCATGGATGGGGGAGAGAAACAGTGGCGCCACGCCCTCGTTGCGCCTGTCATTGCGCCATCGTTATTTATGGATACGCACTATATACTGTGGTATATGTTGAAACAGAGGGGCACAGCAAAGAGTAGGACCATCGGGAGAACGAATTGAGAGTTTCCTGAAAGCTGCTAACAAAAATTAACATTTTCAAAGAGGCCCGTTTCTTGCTGACCCACTTGTCGCCTTGCCAAATGTGTGAGCGTATCGTAGGAGGAGGATAGGATTGATAGAGGACAAGGATGTGGAGAATTCTGTATGCACACGGACAACTTGAGGGGTTTGAGATGGCCAAGAGTGGCCAATCAGTGTCGACAGCACACGACAGGGTAAGAAAAAAGACTGGTCTTTAAACTGAAAACCTAACACGAATATATTTGGGGTGACTTTTTGTACAGTGAAGACAAAGGTGTACATGAATAAGGAGGCAAACAAATCTACGGTAGTTAGACTTCTTTCCGCGCATTTGTACTTCTCGAAATTTTGGCTAATGAAATTGCGAACTTTCTTCGTCTCCGAATAAAGCATCACCTAAAACGTATTTCTTGGTCTTTGCCAATGAACTTCTTCTAATCATTCAGCCAATGGAGACTTAGCATCGAACGAAACTGTGTTTAATGTAACTTAGTCAATCAACTTGTATGAAGATTGTTATCCGACTGTACATCGCTATCAAGCGACGTTTTAGCGATAACAAATCAGTCTTGGACTAAACCAGAACATTAAAAAATAGATGGTTAACTTTACATCCGCATCAAGCTATACCAGATACTTTCTGATTATTATTGTTATAGTTAAAAGGGGCCATTCTATCCATGAAGTCCACCACACCGTCCATAGACATCTGCATCCATCGTTAACTGCTGGGAACGATGCTGTAATTAAACAGAAATCAAATTTAAAAAATCAAACTAATGGTAGTTTGAATAAACTTGGTAAAAGAAAAAGTATCAATACCAACAAAATTAATTAAAGCTCATAGAATTGCACATTGTTAAGTGTTGTTCCGCTGCTCGCAAATCGTGTGCGTATTTAGATGCCAGCTAGAATATCGAGGACGTAATCCGTTGGATAGGACACGGAACATTTGCGGGTCCTTTGGGTTATCGTCAATAGATGAATCGTGACTTTGTGAATGTAAATGTGAATTAGAAACGGTGATGAAAATGGTATGACTATTTAGGATAACATACATAGATAATTATTTGAACCATCTCAGAAAATGATGAGATAATTAAATGCTGATAATGATTTCGATGAAACTAATGATATCTACGAGAAATAAAACTAACTATCGATAAAATGGAGTCCAATCTAGATAATGAAAATGTAAAACAAAAGCCAAATAAGATTGAACACCAGAAAATAAAGGTACTACTTTTTGTCGTTGATATTTTTCGAACTAAAGAAAATACGATTGGAGTTTTTATTAAGCATTCTACAAGTAATAATGATAATGGTAACAATTCCTAAGCGGACCTTCTAGAAGTCTCTGTGTGTCGGCCATACCGAAAACAGCTTTAAGGATTTCTGTAACTTCTCGCTTAATAGAAACACGTTATTACAACTGTCAAGCATGATACTGCCTTAGTAGAGCGGTTAAGATAAACATTAGTCATTTCAACGAATCCGAGAGTTCTGCATAATTTCGAAAGTTCAGAGCAGCTTCACATCGAGGTAATGAATAACCGTAGTAGGAGGTCGGGGTAACTAAATATGGCGGTGGGTTACCTGTGATACCAGGCTAAACCAATAACGAAACGTGACAAATACAATAACTGCGACAGGGCGGGAACTCAAAAAGACACGTAAATGGTGAACCTAAACCAAAGAACCCAAACAATGAAGGGTACTCGCTGCCTAAAAGTGCCATCAAACCGTTAAAGTAACAAAGTTATGCCGAAAACAGATCAACGTATAATTTGCTTTCACACGAATCGACTACTTGGTTTCCAATATTAATAATAATTAATTATTTCTAGCAGCTCTACACGTACCGAATTATCCGTAGGCATCTCTCCGAACCTATAAACTCATAACAGCAGTTTCGCAAACAATTCACTGTGAGATGTTTGTAAGCGTAACACGCAAATAGTTGATATTACGTTAAAAGTTACTTATTTCATTGTGAAGGAAACCGTAACTTGATAGCATTTCGTAAAGTAGTGCCTTTACTATATAATACCAAAGCCAACTTGTACAATACTGGCGGTTATCGACTCAGTCGTACGTACGTCGTTTTTTTTTTTTGTCTTTTATCTTACTTAGCTCCCGTCAGGATGTGCATTGTAGTTTATGCTGCCGAAAGGTTGTCATTCTGTAAACAGACAATAATACTGGGAATCACCAACGTGGTTCTCCCTACATCCATATAGGACAATGTTGGGATCGATTGGCCTATTGGGTAATACGTCTCAGGCCAACTCAATTTGACACATCGGTTAGGCTAATCATCAAAGTCAATGACCCTTCTCTCTCTTCGTTGGTTTATTCTAGGGAGTCGTTTTTTTCTAATACATGAATTTCGCCATTTGTAGCAAGCAGGAAAAATACTAGATTATTTTTTTTAATTTTCTTTAATAATTATAAAATCATGGTTTTAGTTGACGACCTATTACAATGCCTCATAGACGGCCCGGTTCATCGAAATGTGGTAAAAGAATATTTTCTAAATTCTCTTGATTTTTTTTTTTAACCTTTTTTGAAGCGTAGAGCCATTTCTTTTTTAAGCCTACCTCATGCAAAATACCTAAAAGGCCTGCCTCTAATTTCTGGTCCAACTCACTAGTACTAATCTAAATAGTAAAAAACTTCTATTTGCTTTCTATTATTTCTGGAGCGGCATAGTGTCTATCTGATTAAAGATCGCCCGTTATTTCTCGCTGTAACGACTTTTCCTACGGCCCATTCAATTACAATTATGGCCGCATTCGGGACCGATTTCCCAAAACCATTATGAAAGCAGTAGCTTCCTGTCAAATAGAACCTCCATGAGGCACCTGACAACGAAGAAGGTAGCTGGTAGAAGAGCTCCTCAGATAACTCATGAAGGAAGTGACACGCTCCTAGTTCGCGTGAAAAGTCACATCCGGAGGAAAAACCCGGTACACGAGTGATGGTACTATTGCAGCAGGCTGTTGTTTGGCTTAGAGATGATGCCTTTTCTTGCAACTCCCGCGGGGCACGGTCCCCTTGAAGTCTTTGGAATTTTAGTTTATCGAGCTTCCTTTTCCCGAACACTTTATCTTAATGAAAACGTCGTCCTTTTTCCCGAGCGAACTGATATGACCACCTTAATGCGCCGTACATCATTGCTCAGCGCCATGAGTATATATATATGTATATATATTTGTTTGCCTGGTCCTTAAAGTATGGCCAGGTTTCTAAAGTTCTTGGGTGTCTAAATCCTTTCCAGCTTCCTGAACTTTGCTTCTCACTTGTATTAATGTCTTCGCTGATCCCTATTAAAATCCGCTGTCCTGATGTGGCTAAATCTGGCGGAGCCCAACGAGCCTGTAGAGGCCTCGATTCGCCCTTTTTTCGATCATATTGTAAGCTTTTTTTTGTCAGATATCTTTAGCTTCTCGTGACCAGATAATTAAAGCGTGATTAAAAGATTTAACTATTACGATGATTAGTATCCGTTTCACCGATAACAGCGAGGGATTTGGACTGCTAAACGCATCAGTAAAGAAAAAGGCGTTACATACGTCACAACAAAGCAAAAAGTATTTGAGAAAACTTCCGTGGATCAAGATAAGTTTGCTATTGCAATTTATCCACGTTTAGAGTGCACCACGAATGGATAAATTATAGGGAAAAAATGCATTAGAGAAAGTAGCATACAAGATGTGTTCCGTGATTAGTGATGCAGAACTATATCTATCGAATATGTCGAGTAGTACCATATTGCATCAGTGTTTGTGCAAGCATTATGTACATGAGAAAAACAGCACTTTGAATTATATTTCTATAATAAGCTCGTGCGTGTATATATAAGCACATGTTTAAGCACAGGCTGTTTTGTGTCGTATCGGTTAGAAATCTTAGTTCTGAAGAAATCATTATAATTGCCCGCATTTGATGACGATACTATGGATTTCTACATTCGCAACCCGTGACCTAGCCGACTACATTGAAGTTTTTGTTAGGCAATTAACCTGTGCATATGGAAGTGTGCAGAATTTCTTATCTATTTATATCTTAATATATTTCACTATGCAACGGGAACTAAACGGAGTGTAATATAAAATTAAGGTATATTAGCTGATCTGCGTCTATATAAGCTAGGAGCTGTATTAATTCTTTTGAAATTTCTTTTGCTGAAAGGTCTTTTGCCTATTTTCCAATACTAATAATCGCGCTTGATTGTACGTCACTTTTTCGTAGACGATTTCCGAGTCTGCTAGAAAAATTTATTCTATTTAATATAATGAGTACTTGGGTCGGATGTTTACTCGTCCTGGCCTTGTAATGATTCATTCGTTTGTTCAACTCTTGAGTTGACTTTATGGGGCACGTCCGTACGATTTACACTCTTCGTCTCAGGACGCAAAAAATAGCATTACTCCTTTTCTTCAGTTTTTCGATTCCATGTCTGCCTGCCCAAGTGCTGATTTACGGCGGTTACTTAATTGCTCTTTGGCCTGTTGCGGAACTCCATGAAACACTTCCTACCTACTTGGTAGGAAGTGTTAGTTTTAGGTTTCACAAACAACAGAGACGGTTCTGTATAATGGTGCACGATGTGCGATTGTTTCGTCTGCATCTGTTAACGGTTCGATTTGATTAGGAAATTGTTATGTATCGACGCAGACTTTTGCGCTATTTCCCCGCTGTCTCAATTAATTCAACGCTTTCGATAGCCTGAAAGCTTGAACAGCTGACAGAAACTCGATGATAATACGCCCGACGCAACACAGAATGAACTCAATCGTCTTAGGTAACTGGAGCATAGAAAACTCATAAACACATTAACACACAAGGGTTCCCCTGAAGAGTCGCGAAAAAGTTCCAACGAATCGGCGTAGAGTATTATTGTTATTGTTATTATGTAGTTAGAGGTTTATTATAGGTACGTATTGGCCGCAGATGGCTGCTTAAGAATTAGAATATAAACATTATTGAAATAGGTAAGCAATATAAAGGGTTACTGAGAATGCGTTGCAAGGAAATCGAACTACACGGTAGAGCTGCAAAAATGTGCGTTATAGGAACGCAATTAATACCTCTTAATTTTTTAATTGTTTAACAAGAAAAAAACAATAATTATTTAAAAGTTGAAGTTTTAGCTACAGATCAATCAATAGCAATACTCTGAAACACTCCAGTTTTTTCAAATTATTTTACCGTACGTTTGTATAGCGACCAAAAGCGCAGGAGTCGTCTGATTTGATGGACTGCCTTTAAAACTTGATCTCTAAAGCACGCAATCCGAAGATATGATGTTAAAAACGGTCGGATTGAACTCGAATCTATACCATGAACTCTTTTTGACAACATAAATCGAGAGGATCGTGGTACCGACTTAGTTTTCTCAAAATTCAAGCAAATGATCTTTGTAGCAGACGATCTTTTAGATCGCTGATAATTAGCAGGACACGCAAAATAAATATTTAGTTTTCCTGAAGGTCGCCAGGTGGCTTTTGCTGCGATAACATGTTAGATCGGTTATGTCTTAAGTTTTTATTACTATTTTTAAATATTAAGCTTTTGTGCTGCGGTTTGTACAACTATGTAGGAATATCATGCCAATTTCAGAATGTATGTCATCGGAGTTGCGCAATGTTTACGACTGAAACATGTTTTTTATTAAAAAATTGTAGGGAAATACAGTGATAATTGCTTATAAATTTATGCAGGTAATTAAGCAATAGTATGTTATCAAAAGTGTACATCATCATTTGCATTAGTTATTTAAAGTTTAAATTTAGTTAAATTATAACTAAATTTTAATCTATTATCCTTGAAGCTCGTGAACGAGCCCTGTCCTTACTCTCTCGTATAATAGTTTAAATTTATAGCCAAATTATCCATTAAAGCCATTTTGTATGGAACAATAGTCGATCTAATTTCTCTGATATGCTCATACGGAATCAATACTAAAAACCTCTAGATTCTGCTAACTGAACACTAACAGAGAGTTTAAATTTGTCTTTTTTTTTTGTTTGTTAATCAGTCGTGAGCTTTGTACGAAACACAATCATCCCACAGAATGATGGCCACGGATTATATTCCATAGACACGCCATGTTTGTCGCATTTGCAAGCTAAATACATTCGTCTGCTATCGGCCGACAGCTGTTAATGCCATATGATAGCATTCTTTTCCATACAAATCATTACATTATATTTTCCTTCATCATATGAACAGTGTTGACGGGGTTAAATGCTCGATGTTCAG